CTGAGAGGCTGGCAAGTGAGGCGGGGAACGTTGGAGTCTGCAGCAAGCAAGCCTTGTGCTCGCTTCAGTGCCTGGCTGCTGGCCGCCATCTTGGCTGACAGTTAATTTGCATATACTCACTGATTAGCCAATGAAAAGGGTAGCGGTCATACGCCAATTACCATGTTTCTCTTTTATTAGTGTAGATTGTTGGATTATCTTCCATATAAACAACTATAAACTTACTTTTGCCCGCCCTGTATTGTTAATCATTCAAACATTTATTGATCAGTTGCTATAAACCCTGCACCCTGCAAGGGGCTGGGGCTTCCAGTTTCTGCCTCAAGAACCTCACTATCCAGTGGGAGAGGATCACAGAAGAACTGATGATTAGGATGCCATACGGTAAGTGCTTTATTAATGACTAGAGGCCCAATGCATGAAATTCGTGCAAGGGGCTCGGCCCTTGCAGCCTTGGCTTTGGCCAGAAGGTTGTCTGGTCTAATTAGCATATTATGCTTTTATTATTATAGACTATCTTTAAAAGAACTATTGCTATTAAGTGACAGACATTTTTCTTAATTTTTTTTTATAACCATTGTGTGGTACATGCTTCTAGTCCAGACACCTGGGTTCAAATCTAGGCATTTTCATGAAATATTTATGTATTCTGGGCATGATAACTTCTCTGAAACTTAGCTATATCATCTGGAAAATGCCTATAAAAATTAGAAAAAATAGGTCTAAGATGTTACCACAGTGCCTTGCACATAGTAGGGCTTAATAAATGTCTTTTAAAGCCGTGACTAAGGGTGTTTGGAGAACTGATGCTGATGGCTCTTGTCCTCATCCCTGGACAGTCTGTTTGGATAGGTCTCAAGGTCAAGGCAGCATGTCCACCGGGGAAGTGTGGTAGAATTGCGATGTTTAGTGGCTTATCTGGTTTGTTGCCAGTTCTAACCCAATGACTGGAACCGCGGGGACTGGGCCAGCCACTGCCCTGGAGTTGCTGGCAAGATCTAGGCAGAATGTTCCAAATAGGGCAGGCCCTCCAGGGCAAGGCACAGAGAAACTGAGTTGTATGGTACAGTAAGAGGCCAGGCTAGGACTTAACTGCAGACCTGTTATATGATACACGGCATGGGTACCACACCTGGGCAACCTGCTGCCTGGAGCCAGTGGCTTCTGTGTAAGACCACTAACACTGGCTGCCCCTCCTGCACACTCAGTTCTGTGCCCCGTGCCCTGTATCCCATGCCCCGTACCCCCGTGCTGGGGTGCACAGGGGCGATGCAGGCAGAACTCCATTCCTCAGGAATGCAGGACCTCTGAGAAGGAGCCGTGCAAATCAGAACATACCAGCACAGAACTGAGCCAGTGCACAGAGAAGAACCAAACTGCACAAACCCAGACCTGTTTACACGAAGGAACATTCTTGTAGGACCGCCTGCTAAGCCTGTTGCTAAGCCCTCCCAGCTTCCTTTCACCACGCTCTGGGCTCAGGAAAGATAATCGCTCTGGGAACCAGCTTCCTTAGGAGACCTGAAGGGATGCTTTCAGTCTAGAGTGAAACCTGCCTTTCAGCAGGGCCTCGCCTCCTCTCTTGTCGGACAAGGGGAAACCCAATCCATAAAGGAAAGGGTTTGCACACACACAGCCCTGCGGGGTGGCGGTGATGGTAAGTGACCCTCGGGGAAAGGAAGGAGCCCCGGATCTCTCAGCTCTGAGCACCTCCCGAACAAAGACCCTAAAGTTTTCTGCTGGGACAACAGGAGACACAGGGCACTCAGACTCCAGGCACGCCCGCAGCTATCATCTGTCAGTGCTGACACCAGCCCTGTCTGTGTGCAGTCCGAGCGGCGAGATCAGACAAGCCCCGTGTGGGGGCCGGGGCTGGGGAGGGCAGGAAAGGGGGAGAAAGGGCTTGGGAGAGACCAATACAAATAGTAGGAGTTTTTATCTGACCCCACAGAACAGGGCAAGGGAGAGCTGTGTGATCCAAGCCGGGATGAAAGAATGGCTGACTTCCCCTTGTAATCAAAGAGCTTAATGATGCTTATTAAAAGCCCATTTATGGGTCCTGTTGAAAAATTACACCGTGTTTTCATAAGAATTGAATTTTTTATAAGAATTGCTTCCTAGAGATTAAATACACACACACACATACATGCACACCCTTCCCACACACCCCACACCCACATGCACACACACATTCCCCACAAATCCTACACATCCCATACATCCCATGCATGGGGGTACATCATCACGGATGGCCACAATCCACGTCGTACAGATATACTGGAAAGGAAAAGCATGCCTAGTCCCTGACTAGGTTGTTCAACACCCTTTGAAGTCCCAGAGTCAGAGGGAGCCCCAGAGCTTCCTGCTCGAGCAGTTGTCATCCCCACAAACAGTGCAGCCTCGGATCTATATCATTCTCCGCGTCTTGCCTGAGGCCAGACACCTCTGCCCCAGCAGAAGCTACGGGGATCGGGGATCACTCAGCTTTGGTGGGACACAGCAGAGCAGTAGGGTCACTGCAGAAGGGGGTGTGCATCCAGGCCCTGGGCAGACTCTCTCTGTTATGCTACGTCCCAGCTCCCAGGGGTGGTGGGCCTGGCCCTGGGCCCTCTGCATGTTTTCCTCTGGTTATCAGCTTACCCAGGGCCCAAGGCTGCCTTCACTCTCATGCAGAGAAGGCTTTGCTGTCTGGATTAACCCACCACACACAGGAGAGTACCCCTCGCAGAAAGGAATTCCTCCATCGGCATGGGGGCCGTCCTAGTGCTGGTCACCCCAACATTGACCCCCTGCTGAGGGGCAGAGTCACTAAAATGCCTGCTCAAGTCCTCCAGCCATCAGGTGAAGCAGTGGCTTTTGGCAGAAACATTTGCTCTGGATTTCAAGGTCACTGATAACCCTTATTCACCATGTGGCCTTGGCCAACTCTCTAAGCCATCATTTTCTCCTCTGCAAAAGAGCAATCACTTTTTTTTTCCATCTTATGGAGTTTCGGGGAAGATAGCAAAATGTTCTACTGATTGTAAACACCAAAGCAGATGCTAGCAATTCTCACGATGAGACAGTAATGAAGAAATGGAAGAGCTCATCAATTGGGCAATGCGTGCCTCAAGGGCAAAGCCTGCGTCGTATGTATTGTGTTATCCCCCATGCCTGGCACAGAGTCTGGCACCGGATATTCTGAGGGGAAAGTTTAAAAGAAAGAATGAAAAGCGAGGGACACCACGAGTTGAGTGGCTCGTTCAAGGTCACAGAGCAGCTTATGGTGGTACTGGAACCCAGGTCCGCTGACACCCTAGTCCAGGGCTCTCTGTTCTAGACACAGCAGTTGTGTCTATTGAAGGTTCAATGATGTCACACTTGGCACAACCTGGGCCAGGTTTGAATGAGCTCTGCCATTCTCAGGGACAGATCCCTTCTGGTCCAGGCAATGCCTGAGAGGCCTTCACAGACTCGCCTGTCAACGTTCCAAGCCGACGGTAGGAACAAACAGAAACCGCAAGCGCAAATAATACCTAAACGCCTCAAAACAACTCATCTTACTTCCTGACTTGAATTGCACAAATCAGAAAAGTCACAAGATTGAGACAACGGGCCGCAGAGATTGGCGACGAGACCTGTATCGTGTGTCAGGCTCACTTTCAGCATTATCACTTACCTGCTGCCCGAGTGCCGCAGAGATCACCAGCTCTCTCTGAGTCTCAGTGTTTCCATCTGCAAAACAAGAAGAGAAGGACAATGAATCCCTCCAGACTGCTGGACTCAAATGCATCATCGGTTTATACCTCATATTGGTTACCAACTACTTATGATCCCAGGTAAATGGGAAAATTGCTAATGGTCAGGGACAAGGAGGGAATGATTTCAAAAATGAAGTGCGATAATCAGAGATGAAGTACGATACTGGGTAGTTATATGACAAACAGGGCACTGATGGTGCCCAACTCTTGCTACTGAAAACTCAGCCTTCCAATCATTCTGGCAGTTACTTTTATTGTTCACAGATGCCAAAATGCAAAGCACCATTAAATACCAGGAGAAATAGAGCAGAGGAAAATGCCACTTCCTCTACTTACGTCTAACGTTTCGGGTATTTTTCCAAATTTTTTCTTTTATACGTAGAGTTTCCCATTTTGCGGAGAAGGGCTGTGACAGTGCACTATACTGAAAAGCACCCTGCCCATCAGTAATCCCCCCTCCCTGTCCCAGGGCTATCCCGTCACTGTGGCCTGCATTATTGGCCCATTTTTATTCCCATGCCTTTGTCAGTCTCCCTAAGACTTTTCAGGTCCCTGGTAGGCCCTGTGCACATCTGAGCCCAGTGAGGAGCATGTGACCTCAGGAGTCCTCAGCTGGTCTTTCCCCCATTGGAGTTCAGGTACCTCATCTGGAAAACAAGGAAACCACACTGGCCAATCTGAGAGGTCACTTTTAACTTAAAAAGGGAAGGAAACTCATCTATTTGAGTCCTGCTATGTGACATCGATTGAGCCAACAGTATCTATAGACATTATCTCATGATCCTCATAACCACCCTGAGAGATACGACCGATGAGAAAACTGCCATCAGTGAGTTTCAGTGACCCATCCATGGCCTGCTGCGGTCATTTTGGTACCATTTTCACTATATTGATATCTTACCTCTGCTATCATTTAATTTTCCCAAATCAATTCACATTTTTTTTTTGCTTAACTTTATTGTTAATGGATTTTTTAAAAGTTCCAGTAGCTCTTTACTTCTTTCCCCCTTCTCTCTGCGGTCCAGTGGAAGGCCACCTTGCCACTAAGAAAGATTCCGTAATTGCAAAAATGGTTGCTAACAAATTTAAAGGAATTCTTAATCACGCCAATTCTATATAAACTATCTATGAAGTCATAGGTTTGGGTGCTGTGAGTATATATATATTTTTAGTACTCATTAAAAAAATAACTTCTGAAATTTAAATGCTCATCCCTGTACCACCCTGCTCCCAGTGGTGCCTACTTTCTCTGGGAAGGGATGGTCTCAGCTCCCTCACTATGCTGCAGCCAGACCTTAGAACCAAAATCACATCTCAAAGCTGAAACAGCAGAATCAATTAACACTTACTATATGTCCGGAGAGTTGCCTGAGGTTACACCGCTAATAACTGAAGTCACTGGGACGTGGGCCCACCAGCCCACTCCTGACCCTGTGCTCTGAGAGTGTATTCAGTTTCCCTTCCAGTCCTCATCAAACCCCAAATTTGCAATTCCGTGGCACCAGGCCACCAATTAAGCTCCTTTTCCCAATCCAGGCAGGTCATTCCGTTCTGTCAGGTCACCGGGTTTTCCACACAGTAAGTAAGTAGATCGTATCAATGCATATTTAAGTTCCCAAAAGGGCACTTTGATAAGAAGCTGCATAATTGCTAAAACCAAGTTGAGAAAATGTGAAGTGAAAGTGATTCTTTAGTCAAAGATTCAAGATAGTAACCAAGGAACTAGAAAGGGCTGATAGCAGAGTGTCCAGGAATGCCATTGCCACTGCCAATGAGGAAAAAATCCCAACTGGATCCGGGGGCTAGGGGAAAGTGGCAAAGTGACTGCACGGCACACTGGCCGAAGCTGCTGGTGTCTTTCTAGAGCTCTAAGCTTCCAATTCCTGTCATCTGGTTTAAAATTAATTGGCAGGAATTTTTATGACCAGAGAGCAAACTCAGGGAAAGGCCTGCACAATTGGCTCAGGCTTTGCCTTTGTCAAGTTCCCATGTCTCCTTGAATATGTGCAGAAACAGAAAAACCAAACAAACATAACTGATTATTCATACTCCATCCAATGACACCTCTTCCAGGAAGCCTTCTCCAGCCACCCGAGTCAGCATTTGTCACTCCCATCCCTGGGTTCCGTTCAGTAACACTTTTATTTTTTAATATTTTGTTGTTGTTGTTGTTGTTTGTTTGTGTGTGTGTGTGTGTGTGTGTGTGTGTGTGTGTGTGTGTGTTTGAGAGAGAGAGAGAGAAAGGAAGGGAAAGGGAGAGTCAGAAACATCGATGAGAGAGAAACATTGATTGGCTGCCTCATGCACACCCCCTACTGAGGATTGAGCCTGGAACTCAGGCCTGTGCCCTGACTGGGAATTGAACCAGTGACCTCTTGGTGCATGGGAGGATGCTCAATCCACTAAGCAATGCCAGCCTGGCCCTTTGATAACACTTTAATCACAGTTTCTGTTATATTGCAGTTATTGTCTTCTCTTTGTTTAAAATATTATTTTTTCATCTTACCCAAGTACATTAAATATAATAAAAACTCACCTACCACTCACAATATGATTTTAGATATATTCCCTTCTCAACCTTCTAGGATAAATACCCGCCACACAGACATCCACAAACAACGCATCCAGATACTTTACCAAATGGGATCATACTATACACACTAATTTTAATCTTATTTTTAAGTGGTTACATAGATACACAATTAATCTCTTACTGATTGACATATAGATGGTTTCCAATTTTTCTCTAGTGGTAAAGATACCCTAATATTTGTGCATATATACAGCTTAACATTTAAAAAAATATTAACTGACTCCCACAAAATACTGCATCACTTTATATTTCTACCAGCAATATATGGACATGCCAATTCCTCATGCTCTCATCAATATGAGGCATTAGTGGGCTCCCTTCTTCTTCCCCCTCCCCCTCCCCCTC